TTTTTTTGATTTTTGAGACAGGGTTTCTCCGTAGCTTTTGGTTCCTGTCCTGGAACTAGCTCTTGTAGACCAGGCTGGCCTCGAACTCACAGAGAGCTGCCTGCCTCTGCCTCCTGAGTGCTGGGATTAAAGGCGTGCACCACCACCGCTTGGCTTAATTAAGACTTTTAAAATGACATCCATGTACACTCATTTATTATATACTGAGTACACTCTTCACTGTACCATCTCCATACAGTCTGAGTCCATATGTTTAGTAGCAGACTTTGCCCTTCCTTTCTTTGCCTCTTCTATGCTTCCCTCTCCCTTCGTGTACAACCGTACCCCTGCCAAATCCCACCACTGCCACTTTTGATAGCCAGTACTCTACTCAGTATCTCAAATCAAAAACTTGGAAGTAAACCTAAATCTCTCTTTTTTATAAACCCTTCTTCAGTCAGTCACCTGGCCTGGTCCCGCTCTTAGCTTTGGTTGATCTGTGTGAAAGTAACAGAACTTGACAATCAGTAGCTTAAATTGGCAAGATAATGTCTTAAATCCAGAGATTAAAAAGCCCCTGAGATAGTTCAGCAGCACAGTCATGTCATTAAGATTTTGCAACCTCCTACTCTTCTGTGCTCAGCTTGCTGGCATTTGTCTTTGTGTCCTCAGAGTTGCAAAATCACTGCCATAGTACTAAATTTGGTGTCATAGAACGGAATGTGGAAGAAGATGTAGTGGGATGCAGGGAGGGTTCTACCTGCACCCACACTCTATCAGAAAGGAAAAGCTTTGGCAGAGCTACCCTCTTTCCCTCCAGAGAGTGTTCAGAATTGGCTCACATAAAACTATACTGAACCTGAATAAGCGGATCCACTGGCTTTCTAGTCTTTATAGGCAAGTTGTAGATAGCTAGTCGTAATTTAATTAGAGTGTCAGTTACACATTTGACTTTCTGAATTATTTTTTTTAAGATTTATTTATTTATTATGTATACAACATTCTACCTCCATGTACGCCAGAGGGTGCCAGATCTCATTACAGATGGTTGTGAGCCACCATGTGGTTCTGGGAATTGAACTCAGAACCTCTGGAAGAGCAGCCGGTGCTCTTAACCACTGAGCCATCTCTCCAGCCCCCAACTTTCTGAATTATTTGTCCATGTGTGGAAATCAAACAACCTCAGGTGTTTCTTGGGTGCTGTCCACCTTTTTTTTTTTTTTAATTATTTCTGATGGGTTTCTGACTGGCCTAGAACTCACCCAGTTGCTAAATTGGAGCTAGTGAGCCCCAGGAATCCACCTGTTTCTGCCTGTCCTGTGCAGATATTACAAATACTATCATGCTTGGAGCTGGAGAGATGACTTCATAGTTAAGAGCACTGACTGCTCCTCCAGAGGACCCAGGTTCAATTCCCAGCACCCACATGGCCGCTCACAACTGTCTGTGACTCCAGTTCCAGGGTATCTGACAACCTCACACACACATACACGCAGGCAAAACACCAATGCACATATAAATAAATATTTAAAAACAAAACAAATACTATCATGCTTGACTTTTTAGGGGGGTGGGGAATAAGAGTCTCTCACTATGTAGCATTGGCTGTCCTGGAGCTTACTTTGTAGACCAGGCTGGCCTGGAACTCAAAGATCCTCCTTCCTCTGCCTCAAGAGTGTTAGGATTAAAGGTGTGTGCTGCTATGCCCAGAAGCTTTTGTTTTTTGGTCATCATTTTGGGTTTTTCCCCCCAGAACATAAATCCTGGAGATTGAACTCAGAGACTCATGTTTGCAAGGCAACCACTTGATCAACTAAGCCACCCTGCTGTCCCCAACTATTTTAACGTTTTAAAAATTTTCAGATTAGATTAATTCATTTTTCAGTGTGTATTTGTGTAATTTTCTGGTTGTTTGGTTGTTCTGTTGTTTAGTTTGTTGATTTTGAAACAGAATCTTATGTTGACCATGCTTGCCCTGAATTCCTGATCTTAATGCCTTTGTCTTCTGGGCCTTTCCTCTTTAAGTTGATATGTCTTTTAAAGGCTCATCTCACTAAGTGGGAACTCAGGCAGATATGTCAGTCACTTAACTATTTTAAAGTTAAGACTTTTAGTTACATCTATAGTCTTCTGCCATATTATATAGTCACAGATTCTAGGCATTCGGTTGTGGTTATTGTGTGAAGTCATTCCACCTGCCACAGCGTCAATAAAAGATACAATTATAATGCTCCCGCCAATGATCAGTGTTTCCTCTTAGCAGTTCCTTGACTTTGCATAGAGTAACTGTTAACTTAGTGACTAAAAATAGAAAATTTGACGCATACTAACTGTTAAGTCTGGAAATACTCAGATGTCAGTTAGATAGATGCAAGCATATTAGTGACTGAAGGTGTAGGGGTCTTGTATTAGTTACTTTTCCCATTGCAGTTTAAAATTCCTAACAAAAGCAATGTTAGAGAAGGATTTATTTTGGCTCACTGAAGATACAGTCCCAGGCATGGTGGCAACGATGTGAGTGTCTGGTCACATTTCATTTTCAGAAAGTAGAGAGAGAGAATACTGGTGCTCCGCTTCTTTTGACTTGGTCCAAGAGCTCAGCCCAGGGGATGATTCTGCCCACTTCAGAGTGGGTCTTCCCTCCTTACTTCAACCTCTCTGGAAATGCCTTCAAAGATGTGCCCAGAGGTGTATCTCCTAGCTGATTCAAAATACTCTCAAGTTTTGATAATCAAGATTAACTATTACAAGTCTACTTTTTGTCAACATGACACCCAAACATGCGTCATAGCTTTCTACTTGTGGAACCCGTAGGCTCATGCCCACCTTAATGCAAAATGCATTCATTCTGATTTCACATGTCCCGTAGTCTTAAATTTCAAAACTGTTAAAAAAATTCTAAAGTCTCGAACCGGGTGTGGTATTTCATGCCTTTAATACCAGCACCTGGGTGTAGCACAATTAATAAAAACCCAGAGATATATTAGGGTTCAACTTGAAGATCAGAAACGCAAAGCAGTCAGCCATTGACTCTTCTCTCTACGTCAGTCCAAATTGGCGATCCTGCTTCCAGAATTCTCAGAATGAGACTGTGTGTGAGAGCTGTCTCCTCCTGTCTTATATTCCTCTCTAGTGCTGGAATTAAAGGCGTGCACTACCACCCAGTTTCTGTGGCAAATTAGTGTGGCTACTGGGATTAAAGGTATATGTCACTATTGCCTGGTCTGTAAGACTGACCAGGGTGACTGTTTTACTCTGTTGTCTTCAGGCAAGCTTTATTAAAATACAAATGGAATGTCACTACACTTGGGAGGCAGAGACAGGTGGATCTCTGTTAGTCTGAGGCTAGCCTGGTCTACAAATTGAGTTAAAGGACAGCTAGGGCTCTTGTTACACAGAGAAACCCTGCCCCCCCCAACAAAAAAATCCAAAGTCTTTTCTGAGACTTTTGATTATTTTGTGATCCCCCACAAAGTTAAAGAACAAGCTATATACTTATACTTCCAATAAACAGTGGTACAGAGTTAAAAAAAAAAAATCTCTTTCCAAAAGGAAAGAATGGAGCACAGCAAGGGAAGATCAGGCTAAAGCAATACTGAAACCAAACACCAAGCCCTGAGGCTCTGTTCAGTGTCTGGAGATCCGCTGGCATCATATAGTGGCTAGATTGAGATGATCCCCTCCCCCATATTTTGGGGCATTTGAATACTTGGTCCCCAGTTGGTGATGTTGTTTTGGAATGTATAGGAGGTGTGATATAGTTAGAAGAAGTATGTCAGTGGAGGTGGGCTTCAAGAGTTTTAAGCCTCATGGCAGATTGAATGTGCTTGCTGCTTACAGTTTTAGATAATGAACTTTTCAGCTGTTCCTGCCATCCATCCTGCCTGCTA